CTCATACCCCCATTCTGTGGGGATATAAAAAGTGGGAAAATCAAAATTTTCCACAGGCAAAAGTGAAAGCTCAAGGAGGTGAAATCATTACTCAATTGAAAAATCATTTACTCATTCTCTTTCTCCTACAAAATAAAATTCTTCATTTCCCCAGATATTTTATCCTAGTTATCTTTGTTTTGTTTTGTTTTTGTTTGGGGGACACACCTGGTGATGCTCAGGGTTATTCTTGATGGTGCTCAGGGGACCATACAAAATTCCAGGAGTGAAGATTGAACTACTTGCAAGGTAAGTACCCTACTATCTCTCCTGCCCCATCTTCTAGTTAATTCTTATAAGTTTTGAGAGATCTGGAAGACAAAATAAAATGTTTGCTTCTAAATGTCAATTAATTGATGTCTGGTCTCTTCTTGCCCTGTAAGGAACACAACTGCCACCGCACTCGTGTATCAGTTATCTGCTTAATAACTTTAATACCACCAGCACCTCCACTCTGTTCTCCTAGTCCATCAACCAGTTTCCCCAGTCTTAGAAATGTCTTCAATAATGGTTAATCAATAACAATAATTAACAATTATGAGAACATAGAAGGCTAGGGATATGGCTCAAGTTGTGAGCAGTCACCTAGAACTTACTGATGGGAATACCACACTACCCCTTCACACACACACACACACACACACACACACACACATACACACACACATACACATAGTTTAGCAAGTTCTGAATGAATATAATGTCTTGTTTAATATTTAAAACAACCTCATGGAGGCAGGCACTCTTTTTAGATTAATAGAAAAGCCCGAGTGACGAGTTCAAGTTTACTTATATAGTATAAAGTAGCAAGGTTCTGATTCATCTGTGTCTTAGCAATAAATGTGCTCTTAGCTACCAAGTTTATGCTCCCTCCTGGTTGTAATAAAATGGGAGAAATAAGAAATATTTTTGTTGGATATGCAGTGAACAAAATGCAGATAAAGAGCTTTATCTTTCCTGATTTGGTATTGGGTCAGAGAAGATCAAAGTCAAGTCATTGGAAATAAAAATTTCAGCCTTTGTAGACAATTGCAAAACATTTTTTGAGCAAAGAAATTTATGTTTCTGGTTTTTTTTTTTCACTTTTCTCTTTTTTAAAAAAAATTAGGAGCTCAGACTCAATTGCTTGTCTTCCTTAGCAAGAAACTTTTAAGAGAACAGACATCATCACTTTCATCAACAGCAGAGGGTATGATCATTAGACTTCAAATTGCCCTTACATTCTTGGTCGTTTCCTAGTGCAGTCGGATTTAAACTTGGTTATTACATTACAAAATGGAATGTGTTTGGTTTGCTCAAGTTCAGCTCAGGACTTTATATCAGAGTGCTGTGATTATGTAAGCCAAAGCAAAACTTCGTATTTTCTTAGAATATATAGAGATTAGATTGAACTTCACCAGATAAACAAAGATGAAGAAAATCCCAATCAGCTTAAAGGCTTTAAAATAGACCTTTGACGTCAAATCCAAAATTTCCTGTGCATGCAAGCAGCTCTAATGCCCAACTTCTCACCAGAGAAAACGCTGCCCAGTCACATTATTTGTTTCCTAAACCTCTAGCCCAGTGTCACTGTGAACACTCAGCAATATGGATCTGAGAGTTGCTTTAAGTGCACCTGAGGAGGGACCTTCTTGTTATAGGAGTTATCAGGTTCTATTTTACCAATCTGCTCTTTCCCAATTTTAATTTTAAACATCAGTTTTAAAATCTTTAAAGGGTCAATGGTTGTAAACTTGCCAAAAGTGTTGGGGGGGGGGGGCAAAGAGCAGTTAGGATAGAGAGGGGATGAGTATGATGATAATACTAGTTGGAAATGATTTGAACATTTTCGACAGGAACTAAGTGTTGAAAGTAGGTAAAGGAATATATCTGATAATCTTTCAGTCCCTGTATTGCACACTATTATGCCCAAAAATGGGGGTGGATGGAGAGAGAGAGAGAGAGAGAGAGAGAGAGAGAGAGAGAGAGAGAGAACTTCCAGCCACAGAGTTGGAGGAGGGCAGAGGGAAGAGCTGGGGAAATATTGTACACTGGTGAAGGGATGGGTGTTGGAACATTTTATGACTGAAACCAAACCATGAACAACTTTGTAACTGTGATTCAATTTTTTTTAATATGTAGGAGTACTGCTATTTATTCAGTCACTGATTAGCTGATTGAATTGGGCATGAACTCCACCTTACTTTTTTTTTTTTTCATTTTTTATAATTTAATTTATTGAGTCACCATGAGAGCAGTTACAAAGCTTTTGGGTCTAAGTCTCAGTCATACAATGAAACATCTGTACCTTCATCAGTGCCCATTCTCCACCCCCAACAACCCCAGTCTACCCCCATTCCACACCCTCCCCCTACCTGTGGGCAGATGATTTCCACATTACTCTCTCTTACTTTGATCGCATTCAATATCTTGACACCAGACCCACCATTATTATTTGAGATTTTACCCCAACACTCAGATCTGCTGAAAAGGCAACAGTAGACAATTTGTTTTCTATTGCTCGTTATGAATAACATATGATGTCGTGTGGCTGCAGTAGTGGCCGCACTATTTTGAAATTCTGAAATTTTAACACTTAAATCTGGAGGAATTTCTGCCAAAACCTGCTGGGTTCCGAGATTTGCTCTTGAGTCTCTGGGATCATGTCCGTTAAGCAGCTTGATCAGGAGCCAGAAAGACTGTTCATGGGCGGAGATTCGGGGTCCCGTTAGGACAGGGTAGAAAAGGCCAATTCCACCCCCATCCCATGTGGCCCAACATGTCTCGTCACTGCAGGCCCAAACCTGACTGTCCAATGGCCTCTGGAGGATGGTGGTCACCGAGCCACCAAGGGGGAGCAGGCAGAGGGACAGCACCCTTTCCCCCCTGGGGTGGCCCGGGGACAGTAATGTACTGCGGGGGTCCGGACACATTTCTGCGAAAAGCCACTGGGTTTTGAGATTTATTTCTGAATATCTTGGATCATGGCTGTTAAGCAGCTTCATCAGAAGCCAGAGAGGCCATCTGTGGGCGATGACTTGGGGTCTTATTGGGGTGGGGAGGAAAGGACCGGCTCCACCCCCATCCCATGAGGCCCTGCATGTCTCGTCACTGCAGGTCCAAACCTGACTTTCCAGTGGCCTCTAGAGGATGGCGGCCACTGGCCCGCCAGGGGGAATAGGCCAAGGCACAAAACCTATTCCCACTTGGGTTGGCCCAGCACTGGTAACCTACTGCAGGGACTGGATGCATTTTTGCCAAAAGCCACCGGGTTTCGAGGTTTATTTCTGAGTCTCTGGGATTTTGGCAATTAAGCGGTTCAATCAGGAGCCAGAGAGACCATGCCTCCAATTATATTGCTGAGCCAGAGGTGGTTTGTGGGTGTGTCTCCCACATACCTAACTTTTGGCCGTTTACTTTCTTGGTAAACTTTGCCCCAAGTATTGGGAGTCTGGCCAAAGGCACAGCAGCAATTTTGGGGTATCTGGAAGTCTGAAGCCGCCATCAGGCTGCTGATGCACTCGCCTCACAGGTACAGATTGACCTGCTGGTGGCACCATACCCCCTGCGATTCAATTTTAAAATAAATAAATAAATAAATAAAACAAAATTTTATGAATGGCAATATTTCTCGCTTAGTGTAAAGTGATATTTCTCAGTGCTATTTGGTTCAAGTGCTGATTCCTGGATCCTACTCAAAGAGTTTATAGTATTTTCAGGATCAAGCCAAAGTAGGGGGTGGAGTGACAGTACAGGGGGTAGGGCATTTGCCTTGCACGCGGTTGACCCAGGTTCGATTCCCAGCATCCCATATGGTACCCCGGGCACCACCAGGAGTAATTCCTGAGTGCGAAGCCAGGAGTAACTCCTAGGCATCACCGGGTGTGACCCAAAAAGCAAAAAAAAGGCAAGTAAGTAGCCTGTGATCACTTGATCACTTGACTTCCCGTTAATCGTCGATTTGCTCGAGCAGGCGCCAGTAACTTCTCCATTTGTCCCTGTCATGTGCTAGTGTAGCCCAATGTCATCTGTTTGCTCTAGGAACATGAAGAGCTTCAAACCGATCGTTCATGATCTTGATGAAGAAGTCTGACCATCTGGTAGGTGGGAGGCCGCGCGGTCTTTTGACATCCCGTGGAATTCAGTCAGTAACAGCTGTAGTCCAGCGGTTGTCTTTAAATCTCACTACATGACCAGCCCATCTGATTTTTGACACCTTGGCAAACGAGACAGCGTCCCTGATTCTTGATCGTCGACGGATGTCGGAACTCCGGATTCTTTCTCTCATTTGAGTGAAACGTGATATTCCAAGCATAGCTCTTTCAATTCTTCTTTGGGAGACCCGAATAGTGTTCTCATCCTGTTTGTGTAGGGCCCAGGTCTCTGAGGCGTATGTTAATGCAGGAAGAACAGTGGAATCAAAGAGATGTGCCTGGAGCTGGAGGTTCTTCGTCCTCTTAGCTATTTCTTCGATGCTTTTGAAGGCGTTCCAAGCCACTCTCTTCCTCCTGCGCAGCTCGAGGTAGCCTGTGAATATGTACAAATCCCTTCCTCACCAGAAATTCACATCACAGTGGAGTCTGTTACAGTGTTACAGCTAATTCATAGGCACCCATTCTCTCTCTCTCTCTCTCACTCTCTCTCTCTCTCTTTCTCTCTCTCTCCCCCACCACTCTCTTTCTTCCCATTCTCCTCATACAAACACACACAGACACATATTTTTAATGCCATAGATTGCTCCCAGGTCACACATTTGAAAGGCATGTGCTTCACAATTGAACCATACTGCTGGCCCACTGAGACTATGTTTTGACAGATACATATGGATAAAAGTAACATGGCTTTGCAACCAAGTGATTTGGGTTTGACTCCTAGTTCTGCTCATCAGGGTCTCCAGGAGTTGGAAAGAGTCACTTAATCTCCAGCTGCTCAATGTCTTCAATGTCTTCATTCATAAAGCTGAGATAGAATATTAACATTAATGGTTATTACAAGGCTTTTAAGATACAGTTTGTCAGTTGTCATGACATGACCTCATATAAAATGTTTCATTAGGTTTATTTGCAGTTAGCTTGCTAGTATTCAACCAAGGAGAAACATCTTACTTTAAAAAAAATATTTTGTAAATCACCTATCAATTCATTTGGAGCTGCAAGTTAATGTACATGCATCACTTTGTATTATGTTTGTATGGTGTAATTACTCAATACAAAGTGAAAAATTAAGAGCAGTACTAAAAAAATTGAAATCTAGTTGCACAGAAAGTCTCATCCAGGATCAAAAAACTAAAAATAAATGTCCCCCTCTACCCCTCCACCTCTATATGCTATGCAATAAGCCCAACACAAAAAGGCATTTAATTAAACACACATATAAACCATGTTTTTATTTCTATCTAATGTAGCTAGGTTAGGTTGCAAAGACAATGGAGAGCCAATCAAATGTCTGCCCAGAACTGTTCATCCAGTCACAGCTGGGCTGGGACGCCCCTCCCAGACATTGTGTGCAATCAATATCTCACTCTTCAATGGAGATACCAAGGCTCTGGACTGAGTCCTCTGCAGTATCACAATAGGACATGGAGTCCTCTCTCTTTTGAAATGAAAGTGTTCTTTCTACCAAGTCCTGATTTCATGAACATCCACATTAGTTAAAATATAGTATTCACCACGGGTCCCAGCACCATGGGTCCCCATGGTGGTGGAGGATGGGCACTGGTGGAGGGATGGGTACTTGATCATTGTATAACTGAAACCCAAGCACAGAAATTTATAAGTCTATAACTGTACCTCATGGTGTTTCACTAATAAAAAAATAAATAAAATAAATATCGACAACAACTTCTTAGAAATTTTAATTCTAAATAAAAGAATATAGAATAAAAAATATAGTATTCATATATTGATTAGTATTAGCAGACATAGCAACTAGAAAATCTTGTGTATAATTCTAGAACCATCTCTCTATGATTTATACCCACCCTTTCGACCACTGGTAAAGCAGCAATCTATGTCTCAGAGGTTATGACTCTGTAACCTAAGCTATACTTTACACACATAAAAAAATTGTACTTTGGAAAACGAAATTCAGGACCATCCCTTCACTTCGTGACTTTTGAAAGTCACAGTTAGGGTTGCAGTGATATTACAGGAGGTAGGTGACTTTCCTTGCATATGGCCAATCTGGATTCAATTGTTGATGTCCCATAGGTTCCCGTGAGCATAGTCCAGGAGTGATTCTTAAGTACAGAGCCAGGAATAACCCCTGAGCACCCCTAGGTATGGTCTCAAAATGAAGCAAAACAAAAAAGCCACAGTTAATTAACATATAAAATATCCTTAATTGATCTCATTTCAGTTTTCTCTTTTTTGTTGTTTGACCACAGCCAGCAGTGCTCAGTGCTCAGTGCTTACTTCTGGCTCTTCACTCAGGAATTCCTCCTTATGGGTTCTGGGAACCCAATGAGGATCAGGGTATCAAACCTGGATTGGCCTTATGCAATCCAGTCCCTAACTGAGGTCATTTTAAAATAACAAATAGTAAGGGCTGTCAAAACAATGCAAGTGGTCCGTACACCTGAGGGAATGAGAAGAGCTTCCTGTTCTCGTTGAGTGACTGCACTAGCAGGGGATGTCACACCGCACACTTTGCACTCTTGCACAATCAAATGTGTTCACAATGATTGTGGCAAATTAATAGGATTTCCGGATTGTATAAGACAGAAAGATAATGAGTGTTTAGGGACTGTCAAGAAAGAGGACCTTTATTAAGTGACATGATAAGAAGCCCGAGACCTCCTGATAGTTTTGATATTTGGAAAGCACATTTCATAGTCACCGTGGAAGGTTTCTTTTGCCATACATAAGTCAGTGGCAAACTTGCTGCTCTACAAAAATCCCTGACTGCTTTAATCTCTACTGCAGATTTATGATCTCAATTTTATAAACAAGGCAGAGGGTAGAGGGAAAAAATATTGATGTCTTCTTTAGATTTTTCTTTTAAAACAAACAAGCAAACAAACAGATGAAATCAGGCCTTGCTAAAAAGCAATATCCATGATTAACAAGAAACTTACATCTGGACTGTAGATATAGATATTTGTAGATACAGACTCAGAGGTTAGTGGCCTAAATATTCAACAGTAAGTTTATTTTCACTCTAATTACCTGTTATTGCAGACGGCATATCCTCATGGAGGAAAATCAGATAAATCTTTAAAAAGATATTTTCTTTTCTCCCAAATTAACTTAAGACTTTTTTGAAGGCTCAATGTTTCAATTTATCAGTGAAGAATCGCTGACATTTTAAGGCTATGGAGCACAATCCATCCTCTTACCCTTTGCTGTTTGGCAAGTGAAAGGTTTCACTTTTGAGTTGCAGTATCCAGAACTCTTAATTCCTCCCATGTATTTATCAAGCCCAAGCTCGTCAGCGGAGAACACAAGTTCTGTGACAATGCAAACATTTACTGGTCTCCTGCATCTTATTTTATCCCACATGCATATTCAGTCCCAGTCCTCCCATACTCTCATACATTGCTCTCATACCTCCCTTGACAGCTTTTGCAAATATGCTGAAAATTTTTGCTATCTCGACTTTCACAATTTTCCACATTGCCAAAACTTTAGTCATGAGTTCAGATGCTATTTCCCATTCTTTATTGCCTCAAATAATTGATTTGAGATTTAGATTTATATTCAAAGTCTAGCTCAAGGCTTCATTCCCTCACTAGCTATCCCTTCTTTCTGCCAGAACCAGAAAGTTAATAACACTCTCATTCACACCAGCTCTTATAAGCACATATTTGTGGTATGTCATTAAACTCTGCCTGTGTTTCAACCACTCAGTGTTGGCTTCCTGGGTATGTGACCAATAATCCCCTCACCACCTCCAGAAAGATCTCTTTTGGAGGCACTCTGCAGCTATCATCTTGAGATAGCAAATACTTTTTTCTTTCCCATTTGTGCTTCCTATCACAGATCAAAAGAGCATGAGCCTCAAGCCTGGACCCTTCTTCCAAAGTGACTCCATCTCCCACAGCCTCCTGTAACTCTTTCCTTGTAGCTCTTACTATTACTCTTGTAGCTATTTCCACCTTCTTTACTCAAAGCTCTTTCAAGCACTGTCATCTCCCTGCACAGCTTGCACATATGGGAAAGATTGGGTATCCAGATCCACATTCTACAACTTTGGGGGGAGGGGCACAGTGGCAACCATCCCACACTGAGCTGACAGTGACCCAGAGTCAGTGTCAGGCCAGACAAGAGAATTGCTTCTTTCCTTTTCTTTTCTTTCTTTCTTTCTTTTTTTTTTAACTTTTTGGGTCACATCTGGCTCTGCACAGGGTTACTCCTGGCTTTGCACTCAGGAATTATTCCTGGTGGTGCTCAGGAGACCATACAGGATGCGAGGAATTGAACCTGGGTCAGCTGCATGCAAGGCAAATGCCCGACCTGCTGTGCTATCGCTCCAGCCCAAGAGTTGCTTCTTGATGTGAGGGAATCTTTGGCAATTCTACGGAGTCACCAGTCCTTTCTGGCACACCAAGAAAATGGTTGAGTTGTCCACTCTGCTGTGGAGTGAAGGTAACTCTCAAAAGGAAGGGCTGCTGCCTGCTTAGCTTTCCAGACGCCCTGGCTGCAGGGACATTAGAAACAGGTTTAAGCGCTGGCAGCAGGAGCCGCTGATGGTCCTCACATGCTCTAAGACTCAGATCGGCTTTCTCCATTCTGTCCCAGGTGGGATTTCCTCCTTCCAACCTTGAAGAACCTGATTTGTGTTGGTCTCTTCTGAGCAGCTCAAGAGAAACCCTCATAGAACCAGCTGGTAAGTAAAATGTATATATTTCAGTGATTCTGCATAAGGGTGACAAGCTCGGATAATTGCATTTCAAATCATCACTGCACAATATAAAGATTAGGAGACAAGTGTCTCCTAATAATTGAAGATTTTTTTTCTGTATTTAGAAAGGCATTTTCTAGCATTTTAAAAAGCAAGCCAACAAGAGAAGTTGAGGATAGGAGATGTAGAAAACAGGAAAGTCTTTGTTTCAACTTATCCTCATACTTTCCCCCTGATTTTAGAACAAAGGATCTTTCATTTTCATTTTCTGACTGTGACTGGCAAAATATGTAGCCAGCCTATTTCTACTAAGAGTTGAGTTCTGGAAGTCAGAACACATGATGGTTTTTCTTGTTTTCCTGTGTCTCACATAGTATATAGCATGTATCATGCATTAATAAATTTTTTCGAGATCATTTACAATAATTTGATTTACACTTGATAAGTATGTAGTCATATATCTTTATCACATCTTTTTTATAAAAACAATCATACATTTGGATTATATATGTTAATATAAATATATAAGTGAACATAAAGTAGTATATGCAGTAGAGGCATAAAATATTTGGAAAACTAGTCATCAAACACTTTGGTCTTCATGTTATTTGGCACTAGGAGAATACTGCTGTAGTCCCTCTGAATTTCAAAGGTCATTCATCCAAATGCTAATTTAATCAATACCATATTTAAAAAACTATAAAGAGTAAATTAATATCAGGTAAGTGAATTCTTTGCACTCTAAGCTTTCTAAATGTGCCTCATGTCAGCATATTTCTATGAAAAATTAACCTTGTTTACACCACACTAAGAAAACCTAGGGACTGACTTTTCTTCACTGCTTATACTTTGATTCACTAAGGAAGCTAAGTTATTGAATATGAAGAGTTTTGCAGATTTTGGTTTGTCTACTTATGAAATACTTATCATTTTTTTAAATACCTGTGGCTAAATGCAGACAAAATTTGCTATAAGCAGATGTCTTTTAATATGAATTTTCCAGAACATTAGGTTCGATGTAGCTATTTTTTCTGCAAGCAATACGTCCATGTATTTTAAAAGTGAGAAATATGTTTAACACTTCATATGCACAGACATACACACCAAATGGGTATATTTGTATACATGTAATTGCTGTACAGAGACACACAGAGTCACACATGCACACATATGCAAAAAGTCACATGTGGACACTCCATAGGAACTGGTACAAAAATACATGTGGATCAAAAGATATGTGTACATAGACATGCACTCATGC